CTCGGCCCCGCCACTCACCCACCTTCGCCTCTCGCTCCCGCGGCGTCGCAGCTCCGCGGTCGCCGCGCACCTCCGCCGCTTCCGGCGCGCCCGAGCCGTCGGCGGAAGCCCCCGCCCGCCATCCCTGGGCCGGCGCCCATTGGCCGCAGCCGCGCAGGGAACTGCACGTCGGCGGAAGCGCGACGGGCCGGGGCGGCGGCGAGAGAGCAGGGGCCGTGCGTGCCGGGCTGTCTCCTCTCCGGGCTGGGCCGGGCCGGGCCGCACGATGGGCGCCCGCGCGGGCTGAGCCCCGCCGTGACGGGTACGGCGGGACGGGGGCAGCGCGGGGGTCGCGAGCGCTCGTTCACTGCTCGCTCGCTTCGGGCCTTTGCGGAATAGGAAGGGACGAAATAAGCGGCTGGTCAGAGCCGTGGTAAAGGAATCGCAGGGCCGGGTTAGAGCCGAAAGTGTTAATAGAGCGTGTGGAAGCTCCCGAGCAGTCTGTGGTTCTGTCGCTTTAATGTCGCTTTGCTCGAGCAGAGCTCTGAATTAGGTTACATGTCTCGTGATTCGAGGAGGAAGGGCCGTCACTAAGTGAGTTACCCAGGTCTGCCCCTCCTGGGTGAAGTTCTGGGTGAGACCAGGTGCGATTGAACCAAGCAGCTCTTCTCCATCTTGGCTGTGCTGAGAATCCCTTTAAAAAGACACTGTTGAAAAAGCTTTTATGGGTTTTCCCTTTAGAGTGTGGGAAAATGGTAGCATAGAAATTATGAAATTCTGAGGGCCCTGGGTCTCTCCAGGTGGAGGCAGAAGACAGCCCAGGCCCTGACCTCCAGAGGACTCCATACTTCTGTAGGTATTGTACGTTTGTTGTTGAGTAAATCACTTACTGCTATATCATCTTCACTCACAATAAAGTCTCAGTGAATGCTGAGAGTACTAGGGATGAAAATAGAATCATATCATTATATCTGTCTGGGACAAAATTCTACCGATTTTGGCCAAGCTCGATGGGACACCTATATGTAATCTGGAAAAGGAACATATATATAAATTATATGTATTTGATAAATAGTCCTGGCTGATGGTCTGGTTGCCCAGTCTTACTGTCCCTAAGCTTTTGTAGTTAGATCAATACATAAAAGTGGTTTGATTCAAAGCAAAGATCCTTTTTATGTTCCTCTTTGGGCTGAGCAGATTGTATTCTTTGCTGATAGCACTAACCTTATTTACCAACTCTTGATCCTGTTTAAGATTTTCTTGGTACTATTTAAGTGACTAGGAGATAAACCAGCTTATTCTCTTACAGCTTGTTCCATGCCCCTTGTGCAGGGCAGAATTGTGGCAAGCGATTGTTATCCTTGTCAGGGACCAAGGAGAACATGGGTTTGGTTTCGTCCTTTACTAAAGACACTTGATTATTAGCCTGAGCCAAGTTTCTGCCACAACTAATGGTTTGTTGACTTGGGACTAAACTCTGTTGACACTATGAAATCAGGAAGAAAATAATGTGTTTTAAGGATCAAGATAGAAAAACTCAAATTACTTGGCTTGAGTGGGAGTGTCTTGAGAAACTTGCTCCCAAATCATTTGTATACACTTCAGATGATTAAATCATAAATCTGACCTTGCTGCACTGCAGTTAAAAACAAATATACAAGTTTCTTTTTTAAGTTGAAATACCAAAGTTAAGTCATGAAAGTATCAGTAAATTTAGGCTCCATTTGATGACTCAGAGGCATCTGAACTGTTTTGGTGGTGTCCTCATGTGTTCTGGGATAGAGTAGAAAAGCCAATTACTGAAATTAATCATTGTCTTTTTGTGTTATCCCCAATGCTAATGACAGATGCTGCATTAAGCATATTGGATTGAAGCAAAACATATTTGTGTACTTGATCTATTCTTGAAGAGACTTAGTCATTGCTGACAGATGGCTCTCGTCAAAAGATGGCTTCTTTAAGTTCGAGTTCTTAGAAAATACAAAAAAGATTGAATTCAAGAAGTCATTGTAATAAGACATAACTCTATTGTCAGAGTTAATATATGAAAGTGATAAATGAAGGAGGCATTAATATTGCAGAGAGACCATTACATTAATGGGAATTGTATGCAATTCTGTGGAGGTATTGTAAAGGCTTTTAGCCAATACTTCGAAGTTAAGTAATGAAGGTAATACCTTGAAGATCAAGAAAGGCCCAGAAAAGCATCCAGGATAAAATTGAAATATTTTGACTTGTTGAAAAGCTCTAGCAGTACATAGCCTTGAAGTTAGGCTGTACCTGACTTTCAGGTGAGTCTGCTGCAGCCAGAAGAAAGTTCAGATGTTGTTTCATTGTTGTTCATTTGGAGATTTTTGTGAGGGAAGGGGATTTTTTTTTTTTCTTATTGGATGAGCAGAGACTGGTAATCATGAAGGAAGAATATGATGAAAATATTAAACCTATATTGGACAGTTCTATGAAGTTAGAAAATTCCAGAAGTAGCAGGATTCTCAGCCTTGTAATGATGAGCCTCCAGATGACATGTCTTGTCTGGAGAGTTATCTTAAAACTGGAATTGGTGTTTTTTTACTTCTCCCTCTAGGAAACATTGTTATAATAAAAGATGATAACCATACAGTTGCTGTACTCCCTCTTGTATTAAAGTTGTGTGTGTATAGTGAGTCAGACATTAAAAATAAGAAGTACTTGTGCAACAGTCCTAAACAATAAAAATTGCTAAGAATATTTGGGCAGTTGGGGCAGCAAAACTTTAACCTTAAATTTGTCATGGGGAGTATAAACAATATTCAGTCTCAGCTGTCTGGCAGCCAGTGCTCTGAGGGTGCAACTCTTTTACCTTCTTCTGGAAAAAGCAGTGTGCAGCTGAAAATGGTGATTCTGTAGGCTGCTTTCATTAATAATTTCCTAACAACTGAGCTGTTAGGTCAGTAGTAATCTCCCCATGGTGTCTCACCTTCTCTGTGGAGGTTTGCACAGTGGCATTGTGGAATATGCAGGCTGACTGCTCTGGTCATGATGTTCTCCCTGGTGCCTGCACATTATAATGGGGGCTGCTTGGTCTGTTACAAGGTGCTCCAGCTTCTCTTGCCTTTTAGTCATAGTGAAATTGTTGTATTCAGACACTTGAGGTTCACCTCCAGTGTTTTCTCATCCACTGCTGCAATATATTAGCACTGGCAATGTACCATAGTGCAGTGTTGAGATTGCTCTTGCTGAATCCTTCTATCCACTGTACATCTGGATAAGTGCACTTCAGGCCTTATCTCTTCACATGGCATATTGCCAAGTCAGTCTGGTTGGGCTTGTCATGGATACGAATGCCAAGCAGAAAGGAATTTGGGATAATGAACCCAGTCTGCCTAACACCAGATGCAATGTGTGGCCTTTATTGCAAATTTATTCTGTTTTCATTTGCTTAACCTTTGTGTTGCTGTTTTTACTCATGCCAAAAAACAGTCTCTGAACATGGTAAACCTCGAAATTCAGTCACTTGGAAACTGCCACTCAAATGAATTGTCATACAGTAAGCATGTCAGGAAAGAGAAGCAAAGCACTTGGATAACCAATGTCTACTGGGACTATCAAGCCTTCAGATAACTGAATCATGAAATGCCAGAAAGTATCAGCAGGATTAGAGTGTGATATTAGTTACTTTGTTGGCACTTGGCCAAGCAATCTGTTCAGACTGGCTACCCAAGAAGTCCCCTAAGAAACTGTAATATGGAAGATGCTGATTCTAATACTTCAAGTTTTTTATCCCTTGATCAGCTCTTGTCTGCATTTGGAAAATGAGTCAGTCTTGCTGAAGAAGTGGCTTGATCCTCAGGAAATTGGCTAGAGGTGCCAGGAAGCAGTAATAAGGCTGCAGGAAAACAGACAAGGAGGTAGAAATTGTGTAGGGAACGGGTTTGCTGTACTATTTGGTGTGCCCTTTCATAAGGGGTATGTTTTGATCTTAAATTTTACTCACTTGGCTCTTGGTCTGAATCATGGCTACAGAATGGATCAAAGCGAGTGTTTTGCACAGACTTTACACCACTAAAATTTTTGGGAAATGTCCAAATGTGAAGAAAAACATTGGCTCATCATTCTCAAGTTAGTTTGGTTACTCTTCACCTAGTATTAGATGATGTGTATGTGGTTATAATGGTATTTTAAATTGATTCATTGTGTTCAGACATACTCAGTTTCAAGAGCATAGAAAAGATTGGAAATTAAAATGGAAAGACTGGAAATTTTCCTGCTTCCTGCCAGGAGAAATCTGCTTAATCAGAAGGAGGAAGGGGAGTGCTTCTACAGGAATGATGCTTTATGGTTAGCTCTGGACATACGCAGTTCTAGAGGAATGCAGAGACTTGAGCAATAGTTAAGAGAGGAAATGAGTATGCTTTATCATCCTACTACATTGACTTTAAAATGTATTTATCTCCCTCCCCACAATAATTAGGACTCTGCTTTAGGAAAACTTTTTTGTTTCCCCTTAACCAATTGTATTTTATTGTGTGTTGAATGCAGCTGAACTGATACATGTATAAAGAATCAGATCATGCTGGTACTGGTACAAAGGTCAGTAATTTGACATGTTGGCCATAATGGACATTGCTTGTTTCTTTTGGCCACCAACCTTTCTAATTTCACAGGTCAGCAGAGGGTTATTGTAAGTACACTAATTTGCCAGTTTTTTCTTGACTGCAATTTGACTCACGTGGAACAAAAATACATTTGGATGCAGGAGAGGAGGGAGTGTATGTCTTCTGTACACCATGAAGGCAAACATTAATTTTCATGTAATGTGATGCAAGGAAAATGAAAGGGAAATAAAAGCTATGCTCTCCTACAACTTTATCATGGCTGTCTGGGCTAGGTTTGAAATAAAACTGAAAGTCTTGAAACCGTTTTTGTAATTGCTTTTTGTGACAAATACAGTTTAACTCTTCTCTCTTTTTCCTTTCATCAGAAAAATGAGTGGTGGGTTGGCACCAAGCAAAAGCACAGTGTATGTGTCCAATTTACCCTTTGCTTTGACTAACAATGATCTGTACAGGGTAAGTTTTAAGAGATACATTTTTTAGATTAAATTTGTTGATAACAATTTTGACTGTAAAATCAATAT